ATTAAATTTTGTAAAATCTCGATTTTACCGATTCGATTTTACGATTCCGATTTCACCTAACCAAAATGATTTTAGGTAAAATCTCGATTTTGACAACCTTGCTCATGTCACATAATGGGGTGGCAATGGTTGTTGTCACGCCCCAAAACCCAATTTCGAGACGCGACAGACGCCGTGCACTCGTGAGATGGGTCCCACAAATGCACAAGGCTCGGAACTTATCACACCACAATATGATACCATCAAAATCTGAAGATCAAATTATAAGATTTCTCCGATCATAAATCTCCAAATACACTCTAGCTTACAAGATCATGATTTATTTTGAAAATCTATAACCAATTACAATATGGCTAGCCTTCTAACTCGTCACTTCCCGTGGTTTTCCCGTCCTCGGTTTCACTTCCTGAAATGGTGGACAAGGAAAAACTATGAGATAAACTCAGTAAGTAAAATATGGAGTGCCCATTATTAAACTTATAGCATGCCAATATGTGCAATCACGCAAATCGGATACAGTACAGGAACGAAATAGACGTCTCCTCTATAGGTCACGGCCAGTGTATAATCCCCACTAGCAGGGCCACGATTTGCCGGTGTATAACCCCCACTAGCTGGGTTGAACGAACCGGCTCTATCACTACATGTCGACATGTGCTAGCGTTTATAACCTCCCCCACTAGCAGGGTCACGAATAACATGACCACATCGGAGACAAAACATGCAGAAGTTAACAGGAAAATCACAATTCACAATCACTTTCAGATCATCAGGACAGTTCATAATCACTTTCAAGTAGGCATGCTCAATTTAATGAAAAATATAAACATTTCACTTCAAATCAGTCATGCTCGTGTAAAACGAGTTTAGTCCCGCCACCACTTCAAAAACAAATCAAAACATGCTTTTAAAAACTGTACGGGCATTACCATAAATTTACTTACCTCACTCGCATAAACCGAGCACTCAATTCACGTACTAAAGTACCTCGAGGATCAAGAACCTAATCAAAATATTCGAGAATTAATACCGTGCTATCACAAATTCACATTGAAATCATCATTAGGATCACTCCTAATCACGATGCTATTCCTGCCAATCTCCACATTATTAGATATCTCCAAATTCGTTCTTATATCACAAACTAATCATTTAAATCCCCGTTAATTGTTGAGCCTCGGTGTGTGAACAGTAATTCGTGAACAGTACCCACGACGTGAACAGTAACTCCACTTCCAAAATTTGGCCAAAACACTAGCTAATTCACGGGATTTCACTCCAAAAATCACAGTAGTCAATTAACACTCAATCACATAAATCCCACTTAAATTAATGCTTAAATCATGGTCCTAAAGCTATCAAATTCTTCCCCATTTTTCCAGCCAAATTCGGACAACAATAGGGTAGCAAACTAATCAAGCTAATTCTACCTTAATCAAGCTTAAAAACAATGGTTTAAGGCTACCACATACCAGAATCCAGCAAGCAAAGCCGGAGCTGCAATTTGGGGAAGAGCCGGCAGCATGGAAGGAAAATTCTGCAGGGGACTCACGGTTTAACCCAAAATTAAAGGATCCCAACTTAAATCAAAGCTAAAGAAGGGAGAATTCGAGCTATTTCTTACCAAAAAATCGAGCAATTCGCCCCCACAAAGCAGGAGCAGCCGGTGGAAGGACAGAGCAAAATAGGGCAGATCCGGATTTTCCAACAGAGGGGGAGAGATTTCTGGGTTCTAGAAGTGTTCTAGAGCAAGAAAAGAAGGAGAAAACCAAGCTTTCTCACCATTTTCTCAAAGGCTGGGTTCCCTTTTTTTTTCTTTCGAGTGGCTACAGCGGGAAGAAAGGAGAAGAAGAGTAGAATCGGGCAAGGCTGGGAAGAAAAGAAAGAAAGAAAAAGAAGAAGGAAAGAAGCCATCCTTATCCAATTATTTTCCCTCTTTTAAGTCCCTCAAGTTTGGGAATGTTGTCTATTAAGCCCAAAACAATATTTTCTCACAATCAAGTCCCTAACTTAAATGATAAAATTCCCGAAAATTTGGGATATTACAGTTGTTGACCCGTCACAATTTCAAATGGGCTTTGTTGTACTTCACTACAAATTATAGGAGAGTTGCATCATGTCCAACAACTTTACCTAGTCATACTGGTTGGCACTCACAAAGTGTCGTAGATACAACTCCAATAGCGTGTTTATCCACTTTGTTTGCATATCAATTTATGGATGAAAGCTTGTAGAGAAGTGAAGGTTTGATCCCATCAGCTTGAAGTGCTCCCTCAAAAACTTCCTTATGAACCTTGGATCTTGGTCACTAATGATGTTACGAGGTAACCCTCAATACTTCACCAAGTGTTTGAAAAATAAGCATGTAACTTCCTTTGCCTTATAACCTTGGGGTTGGGATGAAGGTTCTATACTTAGAAAATCAATTAATTATGACCAATATGGACCTGCACCCTTTAGACCATGGAAGTGCTAAACTGAAGTCCATGGTGACGCATTCCTATGGGTATTCTAAGGCTGTCAGGGGCTTCAAGAGGTTGCCAAGCTACCTTTTCTTGACTTTGTCTTGCTAACACACTAGGCACATCTTTACATAAGCTTCAGTGTCATCCCACATCCATGGCCAATAATACAATTCATGCAGTAGTGCCATGGTGCCTTTGATACCTGGGTGTGCACCCCACTTCGAGTTGTTGCACTCATTAATTCTTGTTATAAGTTCTCATATTTTGGGATATACAAATGATTCCCCACAGTGTGTAAAGCACCATTATTGCACTAGAATCATCGTGTCTTGCCTTCACAAGCCAGCTCTATAAGACTCTTAGTGAATGGATCATACTCCAGGCCCTCCTTAACAAGATTCAATATGTCACACTTGATTTGATTAATGGTGGTGAACATAGCTTTATCACTCAATGCATCTGCCATGACGTTAGCCCACCGAGGCTTATACTCTATCACATAGTCAAAATCTGCTAAGAAATCTTACCACCTTACTTGCTTGGGTGTGAGCTTCTTTTTCTTTTAGAAGTAGCTCATAGTCACATTATCCATCTTGATCACAAACATGCTCCTAAGAAAGTAATGATGCCATACCCACAAGCAATGGACAATGACAATCATCTGCTTGTCATGCACCGAGTACCACTTCTCGGTGTCATTAAGCTTGTGACTCTCAAACGCTATGGTATGACCATCTTGCATCAAGACTCCTTTGATTGCGAAGTCAAACATACCGATTTGCTCCTCAAATGGCTTCCCATAATCGGGTAGTGAGGGCAGAAGTTCTTTGGTCACAGCTTGTTTAAGGTCCTCAAAGACTCATTGACACTTTGCTGTCCACTCCCATGAAACCTTCTTCTTAAGCTAGTTCGTCACGGGTGTGGCCCTTGCTGAATACCCTTGGAATAACTAACAATAATAGTTGACTAAACCAAGGAATGATCGTAGTTTAGGGACTAACTAGGAGGCTCTTATTCTTAAATGGCACGCACGTTGGCTGAGTCTATGGACATCTTTTCATGGCTTACTCGATGGCCTAGGCACATCACCTCTTATTGTGCAAATGAGCATTTCTCCTTTTTCACATACAGCTCGTTCTCACACAACACCTGGAAGACTTGTCGAAGATACTACACATGCTCCTCCAACATCTCACTGTAGACGACAGCATTGTCCAAGTATACTACCATGAACTTGTCAAGGAAGGGGTGGACAACCTTATTCCTTAAGGTGCAAAAAGTGGCGTGAGCATTTGTGAGATTGAAAGGCGTCACCAGGAACTCATAGGCACCATAACACATCACACAAGTAGTCTTCACCTCCTCCCCTTCAACTATCCTCACTTGCAAATACCTTAACCTCAAGTCAAGTTTGGAGAACCACCGTGCCTTACCAATCTTGTTAAACATATCATTAATCAAGGGGATGAGGTATTTGTTCTTCACCATGATCTTGTTGAACGCTCAGTAGTCGATGCACATGCAAAGGGTCCTATCATGCTTCTAGAATATCACTAGGGCTCTATACAATGCTTTGTAGGGGCAGATGAAGCTCAAGTTAAGTAGCTCTTTTAGTTGCTTTCAGAGTTCCTCCAACTTAGGTGGAACCATGTAATTTGGACCTATAGTTAGCGGTTTTAAACCAGGCTCTAGCTTGATGGCATGGTTGACGTCCCTTCATGACGAAAGCTTCTTGAACAACTCTAGGGGCATTACATCTTCAAATTCATGCAGAATGCTTGGAACTTTTTGTGGGCATCAAGATACAAGGTACTATTTTCCTTTAAAGTAGTTATATCAATGTCATTACCTCATTTGATGCCTTAAGATACTTGTATAGCTGAGAAGACATGGTCTCTAGCAAGTAGCCACTCCAAGGGCACCTCATGACACTTATTCTCGTCCTCGAAGTGTATGCAACCATCTTTGCTGGAGGTAAAGGGCAACAATCGGTCAATAAATTTGTTACCCAACACCAGCTTGAAGTCACTTATGGTTATGACATTCAGGTCAATCTTTTCCTATCATGAGCCTATCTACACATGCTCCCTATGTGCTACACCACGTATAAGTTAAGAAGGCTTATCAACAACCTTCAACCAACCTGGTTCCTTGGTGTATGGCAGACCCAACTCCTTCATAAAGCTTACTACAATCAAATTTTGGTTAGCACCACTATCCAAGAGGGCATAGGTGCTTACCCCTTTGATCTTGACAGTGACGTATTTAAAGGTCTTGCTAACACTCCCTTTTGTTGTGGTGTTGGCCTTGGCATCACCCTTACGATTCACCTTAGCCAATATGGAATTAAGGACTTACATGGCTCCCAAATGTGTTTCCCCCACTTGGGATGGCTCCCCAATCATTGAGATGATGGTGTTAAGTTTGTTTCACTATGGGCACTCCCTTGCCCAGCGTGGCTCTCCACATAGGTAGCGATCCCGTTTCACCTTAAGTTATACCTTGCCACCATCACTAGTCTCCTCTATGCCTTTGAATGGCTTAGAGGTCTTGTGTCACCTGTCTCCCCCACAATTGCTCGAGCTACCCTTTTTGTCTTTGCCTTTCTCAAGAGGTTCTTTGTTGAACTCAACAAAAAATTCCACAACCATTATGGCTAACATAAGGTCTTGAATGCTGTGGCACTTCAACTCTTGCTCGGCCTACCACTATAGCCTATCCATGAAGTAAAGAAGCCAACTCTTCTCGGTCATGTCAAAGATCTTGAACATTAAGAAGTTGTACTCCCTAATGTAGTCCTTGATCGACCTCGTATGTTTGAGCACACGAAGCTTCTTCATGGCCGCCTCTTCAACATTCTTGGGTAGAATTGCTTGTGAAACTCTCCCTTGAATGCCCTCCAAGTGTTGATGTTACATAAGCCCTGTTGTATCTCACCATGTTGGCCTCTCCACGATATGGTGGCGTTGTGCTCAAAATACATGATTGCCATACGAATTTTTGTAGAATCATCGAAAATATTCATGGTACCCAAATACCTTTCAACCATTCATAAGAAATTATTGAATTCTTTAGAATCATACTTACCTCCATATTTGGGCAACTCAAGCACCTTGAGCTTTGACCCCACACGAGTCACTCCCTTAGTTGCCAAGGCGATTGCACAAGGTAACGTCCCTTTTGACCTGATTAAGCTCCACCTCCATCGCGCTAACCTTTGTCACGATGGACATTTGAAAGTCTCGTATAGCCTTGTGCATGTTAGCAATGAAAAAGTTAAGGGCACCTTTGTGCTTACCTTCAAGCTTCTCGATATTGCCACACCTGTCCTTTTGCTCTTCCATCTGAAAGTCAAGAGTGTCGAGTTGCTCATAGACATTCCCCATGGCTAACTTGAGCTTGGCCAGCCTCGCCTCATAGGCTGTGAACACTTCCCGCGATGTTGGTGACAATGCCTTGGACCTTCTTTTCTTCCGAGCATCACCAGGAATCTTCCATCGACCCCTCTCCTTTGAAACCTCCAAAACTTTGCTAGCCTCAGCACCTTGGCTTGCCATCATTATAATTCTCCTCCATGTAACTAGGCTCTCAAACCACACTTTGATACCACTTGTCATGGGACAAGAGTTAGTCATTATGCGGCACTTAGCTCAAAAATAACCCCTAAATTGAACCAAGTCAACCTTTTCCTAATTTCCTAATGTTAGGTGCAACCTACCCACTGGATTAAAGGGCTTACAAAGTGTAAAATATGAAGGTTGAAAGTTGGGAGGAAAAACAAAGTTTATTAGATGTAAGGAAAATCTATAAGAGCTTGAGAGAATGCTTGGCTAACAACCTCCCTTCTGCATAGGGCTCATTCTATTTACAGTTGAGGCTAGCCACTCAAGGTTCTCCAGGACTCCTCATATGTACACTTCTACAGTACTCTCAATGCCTCCCACAATTCTAGAATTATGTACAAGACCTTAGGAGCTTCTACACACGGGCTTGGCCCAACAAGCCCTTCTTAGACTATTGTATGGTCTTCATTTACATGCACTTGCTACTTCCCTTGAATTTTGGCGACTCTAGATCACACCAAGGTGTTGATACCTTTAGTCCACCTTATTTTATGAGTGTTGACACGGCATCCATTGGCGGGGCATACCATCAAAATGCTCCATGACTACTCCATGCACGTAAGGGTGTTGAGACCGTGACATTGCACCATAATCCTAGAATTGTGACCCTCGACTTGGGCATCCAAACACACACTTAGTGACAGTTTGCTTTAGCCCCAATAGTGGTTGTTATCCTCATAACAAATAGCGATTATTATGACTGTTATCGAATAAGTAGTTTAAATTTTCGTATTGGTGATATGTGGTAAATAAGGCATGTGGGACCTAGATGATGATATGGCTGCCAAGTGGGATTAATTATGTGTTTTGTTTTATGTTATGTCTGAGGTTGTTTTGAAAAGGGTTAGGTTATTAACAGCTTTGTGTTTCATTTTTAGAGTTGCTTAGAAATTGTTTATCTTCTTCATCCTCTGCTACTCTCTAGAACCCTTCTGGGAGACTATCTGTGATTTTTCTGATTTCAAATCATTATATTGAGGAATATATCGAAAATCTTTCTTTCATTTTCTACTAGATTTCCCTTCTATTTTTTCTAGAGAATTTACCGAGAGCTAATTGCACTTTCCTTATCTTTTTCACTTATCTTTCATTTTATCTGCATCAATTGGCCCTTCCTTGTTTAATCATCTGCGAGTAACTTTTACTTTTGTAAGGGTATATTTGGGTTTTACGTCTCCTTTCCCGTGCAGGGTGTTGCAGAACACCGCACTCTCCTCATCCTTTTTTCCTGACACAACAATCTCTTCTTCTGATCTTCCTTCACTGCGAGTCTCTCCTTCTAATCTCCTTCTCCGATTGTCCCTCTCGATTCTCCCTTTTCCAATTCTCCCTTAGTCAAAAATTTGAGGGTAGAGCACCGAGCAAGCTTTTCTGATCTTTCTTATTCTGATCCTCTTCAGTTACCCTTTCTGATTCTCCCCGAATTGAAACTCTAATAACTGAGAAGAGTACCGATTTTGAGAGGTAAGCATCGTACTGTCTTTTCCCTCTAATTAGCATCGAATTTTTGTTGTAATTTCCTTAATTTTGTAACACAAAAAAAATCTGTGTAACAGTGAGTGTGATGAGATTGTTTAGTTGTTACTACATCAGAATTTTGTTATTTTTATTTTTTTAGCCTGTAATTTTAATTTTTTTAGTAGGGTTTCTTCTGTCTCTAATTTGGGGAGGGAAAAAATTAATGTCATTACTTAAGGTATGCTGCTTGAATCTTGGAAAGCATTCTCTAATTGCTCTGTCTTCTTATTAATAATGAGCAGGATCAGTATGTTCAGTTACAGAATTTAAATAAACAAAATTTAATTGAGTAAAACCTTCAATTGTTGATAATCATATGAGTTCTTAAAGGTGTAGGCCTTGTAATTTGCTGATCAAAATCAACAGTTGTGCTCTTATTAGGTCAATTATTCTGTTAATTAAATTTATATAATTATATATTTAAATGACTGCTATACTGTTCAATAGCTGCCGCTCTGCCATCTGCTATGCTATCATAGTGGAATTTTGTCTTCCCGCTGTTGGCCACCATCTGCTACTTATAACTCATCTTACCCATTGCCAAACTAACTATGGGATAAATTTTGTATCTAGTCCTATAAAATGCCAAACATGAGATAGGACTATTATTTTCTTTTCCAATCCAATTCAATTCCATCCTATTGATTTTATCCAGTCCAGTCCTATCCCAAGCTGCATTCCAAACGGGCCCTAAATTTATTTTGATTTTGAAAGTCCTTTTCTTGTTGGTTTGTGTCACATTAGCGTTTTCTTCTTATATGTAAATCTTTGACAGTCCAAGTGTTTGATGAAATTTCTTAAAGGAAAAACGAAACCTGCAAAAGCTTTCACAAGCATGGGAAAGAAGGGAGGGAGCAAAAGAACAAAGACACCACTATCTCAAAACCCAATTTCTCTTAGGGAAGAAGTGAGTGGGAAGAAGCAAACCAATGCGAAGTCCAGATTGAAGCACCAGTGCCTGCAAAATCTAGCAGTCTGGGCGAGTTCTGAAGCTTCAATCCCTTCATGGGCAGCATTCCTTGGCCACAGATTGGCTGCTAATGGCGAGGTCTCCAGTATCACCCCCAACCCTTCATTGCTTCCTTGTCAAAAGTTTGTTCCCATTCTTTCAATTTAGTATATAAATTGGTATAGCCAATGTTGCTGCTCAAAATGCATATGGGAATGTGAATTATTGAGTCCCATAACTGCAGATTTTGAAGTTCCATATGTTTGGCATCCAAGTTCATGAATCAAGATATTGTGTTTGGTAGCTGTTGTTCTGAAGTTTAACTCAGAGTACCCTTTTGAAGTAATTGTCTGTGTTGAAATAAAGACAAAATGTAGAAGGCAGGAAATCCAGTATGTTTGTGTTATTTTCTGAGTGACACTGTGCCTTGGTTCAATTAGCTCTTGCCTTACCTCATGTTTACTGTAATGAATTGGTGAAAGTGAAATTGCTTGAAATGAAGGCAAGCAATAAGCAATATATGGTCGGTTGCTCTTGTTTCCGATATGCTGTCTTTGTAAGTGACCAAGCAGCCAAAATTTATGATTTTGCAGATGTGAGACAATCTTTAGGCCTGGCTTTAACTGTACAGTTCGTATTGAAAAGAATCGAGCACAAGCGCAACATGGATGTAAGAAACCTCATAGTTTGACGCAAAATAATGTGGTTTTTAAGTGCCACTTCTGCTCACATAGGAATCTGAAGAAAGGGACTCCAAAAGGCCATATGAAAGGCATCTGCTCTTGTTACATCCCGGTACAGGTAAATTCTTTAGGGCTAAGTTGGAAACATGTTATTGATTTCATTAAAACTTTCCTCCACATTAAGAAGCTGCTGATCATAGGAATTTCCATGGCAGAATATAAACTAGTTTGGGCCTTAAAAAGAATATATATAAGTAGAAAACACATAGGGTCT